AGCATAAACATCACCACACCTCCTCTAGGGACCCTGACTTGTTTGACAGAAACGCAGGCGGGTGGGATCATTCGATAGCTCCAGATAACCAGGATTTCACAATTTGCGCCAGCGCCGTCCGATAAGAACAGGATCTTAGGATATGCAAAACTAATCTATCTTGTTTCCTGGAATAGAAACAGGAAAGTCAGCAAAAGACGTCTCTGGTTGGAGAGATTATATCCCCGGTGCCTGGCGGGTCGGTAATCTACGTGTGACCCGCTCCTAATGTCGCCGTTCGGGATTACAGATAATGCCATGTTCCGCGTAACTGCCGTGATCCTGTCGTAAATTGTAATTAATGGGTGCTTATAGAGGTCACGGAAGTGTCATTTCGCCCAGGGCGGTTTTCGGTCCTACATGTCGATAGATCGGAGCGGTTGATGGATAGAGTCTGTCGTGTAATCACCGTCCTGAACACCGGGCCGGCACAACCCACAGGAGAGGGCCGTCATACTGTTACATGGCAGAGTTTGGAACACATTCAGTCTATAGTTATGTTTACCGAAGGAAAACATATTGTTTTTGCTCAGTTTCCTCTTCTTCTTCTTCCGTTCCAAATACTGACCTCTGACCTGGCCAATGACCTGATTTGTTGACGTCTCTCACCATGGTAACTGGTGTTACAAAATGTTGCAATTTTATAGTAGGAGTGATTTTTACTCCTGTCTGACCATATATATGAATAAGTAAGTATTAACAGAGCAGACCATATGCGAAGGTAAACATTATATGCATTTGCTTTGCAAATGTTACCTCTCTAGTTCAACTTATCATAGCTGTGCCGTGAAAGAACATTCAATCAGCTGCTTCTAGTGTTTTATTTGCCTCGAATATGGCTGCAACGGTGTTGCCAATGATATTCAGATGTGCTACATTCAGTCTTTAATTCAACTTATAGTTCTGCCGTGAAAGAACATCAATTCAGCTGCTTCTAGTACTTTTACTTGCATGGAATATGGCTGCAATGGTGGTGCTAATGATATTCCTATGTGCCTTTCGTGGCTAATAGCTAATGGCGGCTGCTCTCATCCTATTAACCGTAAGTCTGTGACATCTTCAGTGCACTTATCGTCTGCTCGTGCTTAGATGTTAATGGGGTGTTCCCTGCCTTACACGTTGTGAGTTAAACCCTCTCTACATCACCGCTGTCGATGAGCAGCTTTAGTGGCAGCTTCAGTACCGCTACTTTACCATCAGTACTGACAAGACAGGTTCCATCGGCTATTGCCTATGGATGAGGATGGTTAGATGGTGCTTGTAGGTCCATGGTCTTTGTTGTAATAACTCAACGTAATGCGATGTGACAAATGCGTACCTAATGTCTGCATGATCATATTTTGTGGAAATTCTAATCTACCTATTGTTTCACCGAAAAGACATGTACCATCGGCTATTGCCTATGGATGAGTATGGTTAGATGGTGCTTGTAGGTCCATGGTCTTTGTTGTAATAACTCAACGTGATGCGATGTGACAAATGCGTACCTAATAACTGTATGATTATATTTTGTGGAAATTCTAATCTACCTCTTGTTTCATGTAACTATATGGATGAGGTGTATGGGTTGTCTAGATATTTCGGTCAAGGGTAAATATTACGGATCCATGGACATTGTTGTAATAACTCAACGTAATGCAATGTGACAAATGCGTAACTAATATCTACATGATTATATTTTCTGGAAATTCTAATCTACCTCCTGTTTCATGTAACTATGGATGAGGTGTACAGGTTGTCTTCATATTTCGGTCAAGGGTAAAACAGTACGAATTTAATGACATGTTTCTTTCATGAAGACTCTCTCAGGAGTACGTCATAAAAGTTTAAAACCCGAGACCTCTTGACACGTTCGTGTTTCAAAGACTTCAGCCTTTAATTGAAATCTAAAACCTCTTCGTTTATTTTCTTTTGATATGAATCCGGGGGAGGGATTTTATGAGCGCCCGTGAGGGTACCTTGTTTTAACGGCTTAAGCCGGATCCCTGGAGCAGATGTGAGCGTGGCTTAAAGTATCCCCATGGATCAGTGTGAGGATCTATATTCTGCGTTTTGTATTGATTAGTTGTAATTGTTGCTTTTTTGTTACGACAGGCTAGATAAAGCAAAAAATACCTAAACACCCTAATAAAACACACCGATCGGGTCAAACGAGCAAATATATGTGTAGGTGACGTCAAGGCAAACGATGGTTCATCTGCTACTTGTTACAGCATAGTTTCAATTACATTACATTCCACTAATGTAACCCTGCGCTGTAATATGGCCATATGGTGCTGTCAAAACTGTTTCCTAGAGTTTTCCTAATAGCGTCAAAGAACTTCTCATGTTTGACAGTTCCTATCCTAAAGCTCTTATGAATCCTATACATCTACATGTTCTTGCTTGATGAGGGATTACCGTTGTCATCGAGTTTATCAAGGAAACGATTTTCTTGTCATCTGTTGCTTTTACACTCCTCCCAAGAAAGTCGCTCTATCCTTTCCCCGAACCTTTCGCCATTCATTTGGCCTCCGCTGTCGTGTTTCTTACTTTGAGTACCGCTGAAAGGCAGGAGGTGCAAAGCCTTTAAGACCTTCTCATGCCCGAAGTAGAAGACGGGCCATTACAAGGACGTGGAACGGGCACTCTGCTCTACATCTGACGCTCTTCATACACTTTCGGCATAATGGTCATCAATCTCCTCCTGACGGTTCAAATCCCTTAAGTAAAGGAATCAAAGGAAACTTTTCTGTTGCGCAAAAATGTGTTCCTAAGATAAGACTGGCTGGGTAACGAGGGAGCCGGTATTTTAGACCATCCGGGCATTACCCCTCTTAGCACAGCGCCATTACATCCGTTAGCACGGCCAAACATGAGCTTATGATTTCAGCCGAAAGAAAGCCTCTTGGCATTTGGGGGAAGCAAAATGCGACGATAGCAGAGAATAATGTTCTTTGTCGCACATTTCGTTCTCTTTGTGATAAATTACACTCCGTACATGATGGCTTCCCATTCTCTCGTGGCTAAAAAGCGCACTTCTGAGCACATGTGTTCCTTCTGTAACACAACATGGATTTGGTAATGAGGCAAACCACAGAAAGTGTGTGGTATTGAAAACACTTATCTAGGCGTAGTGTTGTACATATTTAGGATTGGGATTTAGTGTACTTCCCACGAACTTGCTCCTTGCTTTTAGTCATTAACTTTCAGGTCTTGATTCCCTGGTTCAACTACCTACCATATACTGGTGTATATACACAAGCACTGGCTCTCTATTCTGCTGAACAAACCTAGACACAACAGAGATACAACCTAGATATATATACATCCTAGATACAACAGAGTTTTTTTCGCTTCCTTCCACGTGACAGGAAAGCAAATCCAAACACCGTGACATTTAGGTGTTCACAGTGTGCTGTAACCCTGCTGCTATGTGAACATGTTTCATCCCGAAGTATATTATTTTTGCATTTTTGGTAATCTTTCCCCAGCCGTATAGCGTAGCAGCGCATCCCACCAATTATCACACATTCGTCACACAATCTGCCCAGGAAGGATGGAGCAAATTACCCTTGAAGTGTAAGGCACGTCACTGGCGGGGCTATCCTTGAAGTTCGTGCAGTACAGTACGCACGATCAGATCCTACCACTTCTGGAAGATACACGGAATAAGTGCTTTGAATGCTCGGGTTATCTGTGGATATGTTCGATTGCCCATGGCACGTCAGTAGGGGAGTATCCTTGAAGTTCGTACAGTACAGTACAGAACAGTACAATACAGTCTAGTACAGTAGAGAATAGTACAGTACAGCCCAATACAGTAGAGAACAGTACAGTACAGTACAGTACAGTACAGTACAGTACAGTACAGTACAGTACAGTACAGTAACAGTACAGCATCCTAGCACTTCTACATACGGAATATATGCTTTGAATACACGGGTTAACTATCTGTGGATATGCAGTGGCTTTGATTGTCTACTTACGGTTCCTTACCGTGTAACATCGTCTGCGAGATACAGATGAAAATACGTACTACCAGCTAAATTAGACTGTTTCTGATGAACCAAGTCTACTAACAGCGGTAACTACCAGGAATTGCCGACTCTATCTGATGTCATCCATTCTGATTTGTACGCTGTAATACCCCCCTCCCTCAAAATGAATCTGCCTATAATGATGCCTCTAGCAATGCTGCGTATTTGACCAAAATTAGAACGCAGAAAGATATTAATGCGAGTGCAATATATATGAAAAAGTAATGTAAGCCCATCTAAACTTTTAATGCCGTGGTATATTTCTCTCTGACACACAGACAGTTCACGCCTTTGGCAATTACACGATGCTCCGCCAACAGCGTCTGATTTTATTAGATGCCAAAACTGATGTTCGTTTTACGGGATTCATCTTCTATATTAACAATAGCAAACTCAGAAAGGTTGGCGCCTCCCAAACAATAAGTGTCTACATTAAAGCACTACATTCAAACTGTTGTCAGTAGAAATTGCCTCTCGTAATGGGATACAGGGTGAGAAGAAGGACATTTGTAGTCTTGCCTGTCAAAACGCACGCGGGTATAATGTACTCCACTTCTTTATCTGCACGTGAGGAATGAGCAGGTGAAAATTAACGGCAGAGAAAACCTATACCGCAGACTATAAAGTTCTTCGGTAATTGGAACATAGATAACATGTAGCCTCTGTCCTAGTTTCAGAATGTATTAGTAGACATGTATTAGTGGTATAAGAAAAAGTACTGTACGTGTGTCTTGTGTCTTGGACTCTGTCTATCAAGACAGAGTTCAGGGAATCATGATCATCTCACCCTGAATGGCGTTCCATGATCCAACAGCTTTCTTGCGTCGAGCAAATGTGTTTTGCAGGCAATCATATAAAAGCTGGCAGAGATAAAACATACTTTTGATATCAATATAATATTTGCGGAAAGTCTAATTTACATGTTCTTTTTTAATTTTTCAGAACTTGAGCTGTCCAGGAAGACACACGACCCGTGGACAGTAATGCGTAAGACTGCACCGTCTTCTTACATTTAGACGTTGATTTCGTGCCTTGAGTGAACTTCGCAAACAGTAGTTAGAAAAATATGAATGCTTTCCTTCTATAACTTCCGTGCCTATATATAGCATAGTAGTAAACACTCATCCATGTATGAGCTCATGAGATATAGCATAGACTTTGTGTGCCTAATGATAGAATTTTGAACGTACAATTTTTAGTCTCTATATCTAAAATGAGTGCGTTTCTTTTCCAGAACCGTTTAACATCGAAAGCCACTGCACCACAGCATCAGAGGCGTTGTTAGGATCAACCAATCAGAGACGGAGAATTGTTTTCTTGAACCGTGCCGGTTACCTGGGATACAACCTCAGCCGGGGATTGGCTGAGCAGGGTGACCACGTGACCATGGTCGGTGACGCAGACGACAGTTACCTGGCTGCCATAGTGAGAAGACATAGAAATGATTCAGACAGGATCCCGGGTGGGAAATTTTCACATATCACCGGCAAACTGTGCGACCAAGGTTTCCTGAAGCATGTTTTCAGTTTGTACATACCGACCTACGTGCTGGTTTCACACGTGGACGAATGTGCAGCACCCGGTTCAAATAAGGACATAGTTAGGAGACTAAGTTGTGTAACTAACATACTGGAAGCTGCCAGAAACTTCCAGGGCATACGGGTCGTAACGCTGCGCATAGAAGGCGCACGTCCAGAGGAGGATGTTATATCTGTCAAAGAAGCCAATACTGGTGCTGTCCCTGGTGCTGAACTATCGGCACTTACACGTGCTGTACAGGATGGACAGGAAATGGCATTCAATATCTACAGGAACGTCTTTGACTTGACTGTTACAACTGTAGCGTTGAAAGTGTTAAACGGTGATAGCTACGGACTTTCTTCACTTGAATATCGTAGCAGCAACTACCACGGTCAGTCTGGGTCCTGTGGAACAGCAAACATGGATGATGACAGTTCAAAAGATCTGAGTGTTGAAGAAGATACGAAGAGAGACGTGGTGGTAGAAATTGTTCCAAAGCTGGCGGCGATATTGAGGATAAGACACTTGTGCTTCAATTACAGGATACTTGTAGATCTCTCTGGAAGACGGGGCAGACAAGGCAGAGGGGAAGTGGAAGTGGCTCAAGGCGACAGCGACGGATACATTAGGAAGAACAAAATTGCAATTCTCTCCACAAACAGGATAAAATCACTACGTGACGCGACGAACGGCGTCGTAGCTCATATGAATGTCGCCGGATCTGCTCGTATCAGCAGCCAAACAAGTCATGGTTGTGCAAATAAGTCTTCTGGTGACGCCCTGCGGGGGTCTGTGCGTACCGGGGAAAGAGACACCAATAAGCTACAACTAGATAATGTCAGAAACGAGATACAACAAACAGGAAGCCCCAAAGGGAAGAACGTCGAGTGTGCAGACAGAAAAGTTAACCTGGTGCTATCCTGTCAGTTTGT